ACCAACGCAACTCCGGTTCAAGCTCCGTGCTAGAGCTTTTCAGGTTCAGAACCGGTTCTTCGGTTTAGCTCCGGCTCTTTTTACACTGCCCAGAGTCCGACTGGTGCTGCGTCATTGCGTCATCGTTTGCGTGCCTGCTTCATAAAGCCAAACCGTGCGGAAACCCCTCACAGCTGACACCGACAACAACAACAATGGCCGATTGTGCTCCAGCTTCCTCTGTACCTCTTCGGAAGACCAGATTCCCAGTAGGTAGCTGGTCTCTTCAGTGGACCACTGCTGCTTGTTAGGTTTCTCCATCGTTGTGTACAAACTGAATAAAACGCGGGATTTTGGTTGTTGTTCAGGAGTTGATTCCTGCCCCCGCCCCCGCCTCGACGTAAGCGTGACGTATGCGGTGCTTTTGCTCTAGCTGAACAATTTTTTGGTGCTTGAAACGAACCGGATTCTGGAGCTAAGATGCTGCTCCGCTGCGGTGTGAACAGGAAAACCCGGTGCTTTTCAAGCTCCAGCTCCAAACCGGCCCTGAAACACCGTTGGTGTGAATGAGGTATCTGTAGCTATGTTAGTTTGACAATAAAGAACCTTGAATAGGTAAAGGCGGCAGTCTGTGAGAGTCTATAGATTGTGGTCTTCAGCAGAGATTTGCTAACACTGCAAAGATTACAAATGTCTGGGTGATGTAGCTGTGAAGGCAGCACCCAGAGCTGGCTGGAGGTCAGGTGCCTGACTGTCACACTAAGGAGGAGATGCATCAACGAATATACATCGTTATGGAAACATGGATTCATAGACACACCATCCATGTCAACAGAGCACAGCTACATTTCTCACCATCCCCCATGAAGCACTGAGGCCTTGAGATGACAAATAAAGACAAACAAAGTGGAGGTGATGGGAAGGGATGAAAGCTTGGTACAGCATCTGCTGTGTGACTCCTTCCTTTCCATCCATCTGATCTGGTTATTAATTTGTTCTGCTGAGGCACCGTCTGAGACAGAGAGCTCCTCCTGAGCTGAGACCAGCAGAGAGGAGGTGTATAATTCATAATCAACAATCATACACTTTCATGCCCATTTAACATTAATGAAGCATCGCCAAGAGCAGGCAAGAGAAAGACAGAGAGAGATAGATTTACATGCAACACAACTGTTTCATATTGAGCAGCGACAATTTCACACTGAAAGAAAATGTCTTTCTGTCTGAGCTACAAGGGAAGAGAAACACATCTAAGAATTATTCAACCTCTGAAAAGAAAAGTGTGGCTTTTGAGTATCATAGTAGTTTAGCAAGTTTTTTAATCTTTTATCTGGAGTAAGACAAATATGTAAAGGCCTTCTTTATTTTTCTGTATGCAGCATTTTCAGCACGTTTATGGCACATTTCCACTGCAGGGCCTCGCTCGGCGTAGTACGGTATAGTTAGGCCTTGGTAGGCCAGGCTCACTTTATGCTGCGTTTCCATTACAGTTTAGGAACTGGGGTAGTAACTATAGTAATGTAGTGTAGGCAGAGCCGTGACATCATCTTCAATGCGAACACAAAACCAACATCAGCCGTTAGCTCTTAGCCCTCAGAGCTCACAGCTCCTCATATCTGTTCAGAAACTAGACAAAAGTTAAACAAGTACAAACCACAGACTGCCTGTGTCATGGCGAGTACAGTCGCTGCTTTATTTATGTCTGTAGGCCGTTGTTGTGAGTGTGGACGGTCGGATCATATACTGCGTTAGCTTAGCCGATCTGCATTCAGAAAACACGCATTTTAAAAAGGTGTTTCGCCTGCCGTCTGTCTGCAGACTTGTCAAAGCATTAATTCATGGTTTTCACTAACCGGTATCAGTATGTTGTTACTTCGGCATCATTTTGAAACGTGTATTACAATTAAATCACGGTCAAATATGTTCATTTTGTTGTAGTTGCCAGCGATTCTCTCACTAGTTTAGCATACTCAGCCTGGTTGTTGGCCCGGAAAGAACCTCGATTTTGGAGAGCCAGAAAACTGTGAAAAAGTACCCGCTAGCCGGAACTACGCCAAGTGGAAACGCAACCAAAAACGCAACCAAAAACGAACCGCGCTGTAGTGGAAATGCGCCATTAGAGGCAAGGTCTTGGCAAAGCTTAATCGGTTGACCACTTTGGTCTACAATGAAATGTCTGGAAAGCTGTTAGATGGATTAGAGCAGGGGTCGGCAACCCCTGGCACGCGTGTCAGCATTGGCACGCGGCACCATAACCAGTGGCACACTAGGAATAAGTGTGCAAAATATTTAAATTGTATTTTCGGATCCTGAACGAGACCGCCGCCAGAGCGCGTCTCCCCGTTACCTGCAGAAGGAAGCCATGCACGCAGCGCAGCCCCGCTCTCTTTAACTCCTGGTGACTTTCTGCCGCTTTCCTCCGTGGTGCAGTGCTGATCGTTTCACCACAGAGGAAAACACTTCACAAATTGCAGTACCCATAAGGAGCTGTACAAATGCCGCAGTTTTTGCGTGGCTGTGTCTTTAGTTGAAAGCCCAGTGGCGATCTGCTCATCTCTCATCGAAATAACATGCTACAAAGGGGCGGACTGGGCATCTGTGTGTTGAACCTTCCTGTCGGCTCCCAGACCGTAGTCGAGGAGGGCAGAAGCAACAAGCTTCAGGTTCAATAACCCACTTTAGCTTAATGACTGGAGAGAGGCGAGCTCTTCTTGGGAGGCCGTTGCATTTATTTAGTTGTTCTTCTGTTTCACAAAATACATCACAGACCTCTGTTTTTCTGCTTCCTCGTTTCACTTCCAGAAACATACACACGCTCGCTCTACCATCCACACGCCTCTCTTAAAGGGACAGCGATCTCATCTCACTCTGCATGACCCTAATATCATAACATGTGTGTTCTGGAGAATCACAGAACGGACGAACGTCCTTATTATTATGCCGTTTAAACCAATTATTTAAATGTGTTAAATTCGGCAACATACGTTGCGCTGACAGGTCCACACACTGCTTCCCCGCAGCGAGGCTTCCCCCGCCCTCCTGCTGATAGTTCACGAGCGTCAAGCTCCTCAACCCCCCCCCGTTGATAATTCTCGATCGTTGGCACGCTGTTAACATTTTTTTTTTTCATATCAAAAAGGTTGCCGACCCCTGGATTAGAGGTTTGTACACACATTCTTGTTACCATAGGAGATTCTACAAATGTTTTTGATTATCTATTCATGTGTTCAAGTGTGTTTGTTTTTGGGCAACCAGTGCCTTAATTGTAGAGAGACAGTTGAAACGGATGGACAGAGGGGATGACATGAGGCAAATGGTCCAAAGCCGGATTTGAATCAGGTCCTCCACCTGGGCACCTAGCCCCAGTACCCAAGTGTTTTTTTTTTTTTTATAGTAAATAATTGTTAAAACTCTTCAAAACCAAGGTCATCTTACCATGTCTTGTTATGCTAGCTGTGTTTGACAGAAATAGCACCTAAACTGATCCAGAATTAAACAAACCCCATAATGTAAAAACTGGACCAATCATGTCAAATATTGTCCTGGATTTGGGACATGTAAAGCTTTCCTGAGCAATTTTTATAAACACATAATTGGAATGTTTTTTTTGTTTTTTTGGACTGATAAAGTTTACATTTTGTGTTTTAAGAACCTACATTTTGAAATGTGATATATTGCAATAACTCAAATGCAAAATAGAAAGTGTGTGAGAGAATGTTAACATGCTCATTAAATGAGAGAATCATAACAATAACATAACTGTGTATCAGTACTTTTTCAAGATTTTGAGAACATGCTTGGTCCCAATAATGGTGACATGAAACCTCATGGCAGCCGCTGCTCGATGTGTAGAGCGGGAAAATCTGCATGCTCTTCACAACATCCCAACCCTCTCTTCAAGTGAAATATAAAAGGATTGCTAAACCGACTGCTCCACAGGAATATGAATTGGGCTGTTTTGCAGCCTGCACATACTGCTCACCATTCACTGTTTAACTATCACACACAGGCTGCAACAAACACACCCTTCGATTTAAATCAATATACTCACATCAAGCAGCGTTCCAAAGGAAAAAAAGGTCTTCAGTAATTAATTAAACATGTCAAATGTCCTCTGATAAAAGCCCTGCTGATTGGCTCCAATAATAAAACGGAAACCAGCTTAAAATTCACAAACTGAGGCACAAAATAATATCTGAACCAATTAATCAAACACTATTGTTCTGATCAAAATAAAAAAGCCTCCAAACAAATGTAGTTATTCAGTGCCTTTTGTCCCAATTCCACAGTTAGCATCACAGGGAGCCCAATCTACTGTCAGCATATAGAAAAGACTTCCAACGTAAAGAGACGCTTGTCATGGTTGACTTATTCTGTGCACACTGCCCGGTGTAATGATGAATGAAACAATTCAACAATATATTACACCTAATTTGAACCCCTTTGATGGTAAACCTGTAACTACCACACATGTGCTTGTCACAAATACAAACTGGTATCAAACTAAGAGAGCATTTGGACCAACATCAGCTTTGTGTGAAATAATGCTTTCATATAAAATGAGTTCAAACAAAGGGGGCTCTAGCAGAATAACAAAGGGTCACCCGGTAATAAGGTTCTACCAGTTTTGACTTTTAGCCAGCACAGTGCATCATCGCTGAACCCACACAGATTACAGTCTAATACAGGCTGGGCAGAAATGGCGCCAACATATTTGTTTGCATAAAGCAGTAATAGTACTTTAATTCTACCATGAGATGGTTTAAAATGTGTTGATAACATATCAATTAAATGTACAATACCGTAGTGCAAAAGTGTTGAATCTTTTTTCCAGTCTTTGACACTTGCACAACTGTGTCTTTTACATACGGAAGAGAAACAAATCCCTGTGCATTTGGGATTTGTCCACTGTCTCAAACGTGCCCCGGAAACTGACTATTAACAACCCCCCCCCCCCCCCCCCCCCCCCCGTGTGCTGTTACAGCTGTAGGACAGGGATGTCCACCACAGTGTTCACAGACCTCTGTCCATGCTGCTCTGGGCCAGGTCCAGTAGCTGAGGAGAGCAGGCCTCCAGGATCTGCTGGTGCAGGCGGATGTAGCGCAGGGTCCACCAGGGCAGCATCTGAAATAAATATGAAATAACACAAAAGTGTAACATGTTAGACTAAAGCCCCGGCCACACGAGGACGATAACGGTCGTATCTGCTACAGTTCATTATCAGACAGACGGTTCGGCCACACGAGGCCGACATGGAAACGCAGAAAACGATAACAATAACGGGTCCCAAGGTGGGTAGATCTGCAAACGAAACGCTCTGGGGGGGCAAACAGCTCCGTGTTTACGTCTATACGATCATTTCCTGATAACGTTGAAGCAATAGCCCCGCCTCTCCCACCTCTCCTGCTCAGAGATCAGCTGCTGGGCTGTCAGAAGAGGGGGAGGGAAAGAGAGGCTCCGTTTTGTATTCTTATATTATTATATAGAGTCGTTATTCATTTGTTTTAAAGCTCAATAAATAACAAAGAAGACCTCTGACCGGCACTTTTCAAATTTTGTCCGGAAGTTTAAACTTTAACGGACATGTTGACCGGCGATAAAAAATCGAACTGAAACTCTGCTGCACGGTCCCCTCGTCCCTTGGAAGAGGCGGAGAGGTGGGTGTTTTTCATCTGCTGGTGGACTAACCGGAGAGATTTACAGCAGGAGCAAACGCTTGCCTCGGGGATGGAGAAAAAGAGCCAGAGCGTCGACAGCGGAGAATAAACAGAAGGGCAACCATGCGCGGGAAGTCTTCTTCGCTGCTTTTGTGGCAGGACTACAGCGCCACTTACAGGCCTGGCTCATGTACTACAGCGTCTCCAGCGCTTTCGAGCGGTCTCGTGTGAACGGACACGTTTTCTGGTGCCTGTTGCGTGTGGACGGAAGACTTGTTTGATAACGATTGCGGTCCGTTTGCATTATCGTCCTCGTGTGGCCGGGGCTTAAACGATAACTTCTCAATTCACAAATTAAATGACATTAATTAATGCAAAAAAAGCATGGCTAGTAACACAACAACTCACAGCTTATGATTTGTATTTATCTAATCTTATAAAGGTGTGGTGATGTTGGGAAATGTATTCTGGTACAAATCCCATTTGTAAAATATCTTGATAATCCACAAGTCATTCCATCAGTTATGATTGTGTTCAATCCTGACGGGTAAAACAAACCTGAGCTGTCAGGCGATTAAACAGCTTTGAACCAACAAGACACATATTTTGTAAGAGAGCTCCTTTTTAACATTACATTATATATGGCATTTATAGAAAATGTTGCATATCATAAAATGGAAATGTGTTATTTTTCTTATGATTTCAATACAACTTCAGCTCTGAAAGTACATGATTGGGTTATTAAATACACTCATCACATGCTGCTCGAGGCCTTTTTGTCACAAACTACCAGAGAGCTGTGTGCTGTGACTCAGTGCTGACCACACATTAAAACACCCTGCCTGCTTTTTGGTCTGACCAGAACACAAAGCGGCAGGGAGAGAATAACTGAATGTCTTGCAGCCATGCAAGTGATATTCTCCCTCACACCAAACCCCCCCCCCCCCCTCCCGCCTCACCCCCTGTACCCTCCTGTTCCCGCTGAGCTCTGGGACAGTGGAAGTGAACCATGCAAATATCTGATCTGTGTGTCATATACCTCATTCACACCAACGCAACTCCGGTTCAAGCTCCGTGCTAGAGCTTTTCAGGTTCAGAACCGGTGTGAACAGGAAAACCCGGTGCTTTTCAAGCTCCAGCTCTGAACCGGCCCTGAAACACCGTTGGTGTGAATGAGGTAAGTGAGGATCTCTCAGGCCTAATTTCCAATGCAAAATGACCCCATCCGCTGTTGCATGAAGGTTTAATTGTCTTTCCCACTGAACAATATGCTCCAGCACACACACACAAACACACTCCAAGCCGTTCACACATATCTTCATCATGTCAGCATTCACAAGCACACCGTCTCCTGACTGGCACTACTTCTCTTTATCCCTCCTTATTTATTGTTGTGCACTGGGCTATGAGCGGCTGCCAAACACTGCTGGAATATAGATGAACAGAGTTGGGTACAGGAGAGGGGGGGGGGAGCGTTAGACTTTTACATTGAAGGACAGGATCGTAACATTTCCGTCATAATCCATTATTAGTAGTTGAGCGACGGGGGGGGGTGGGTGTGAGGTAGAGCATGCACTGTCAACTGTCACTGTTTGCGCCGGAGCCTCGCTGCGGGGAAACTTTGGCGCTGTTCCGAGTTTGTTCTAATCTGTCAAAATGACGTACTGCTTTCAGATTTTTCTGTCATTGTTAAAAATCATAGACGGAAAATATTCGGTTAACGCGACCACTGGCAGGAAGAGCCAATTAACGCAGTTTAGTAAGTGGCTTCAACCACACTGCAGGAACCTATTAAGAAACGAGATTGGTTTGTTTTCCTGGCCAAAGCTGGTGACAATTTTCTCTAAATGTTGGCTCATTATATGTAAAGATCTTACCATCATAAGCAATGAACAAACATGCAGATAAAAACGAAAAGAGGCAGAGTGCTGTATGAAAAAAGATACCAGCTGGGCTTGTAATGTAAGCAAACTGCTAACCCATCAGCTAATAATAGTGCGGCTGTGGCTCAAATGCTGAAATCCCTATGTTCCCTCCAGTGGGGATCTCTCTCCCCTTCATCAAACCTGGGGAATACACATCAAACGGGGTGTAACCTTATTGAAGCCATACAGTTTTCATGGAACCTTAAGCACTGCATTGACTGTAGCTCTGCTCCCGTAACACATGCATAGACTCACTTTAACCAGGAATTAGGGGCACAGGCACATCCCAATGGGCACTTCACCAGCAGCATTAAATACGCTAACATGTTCAGGGACTGAAGTGCTAACAGTTGACAAGAACTCCTAAAAAATAACTGATCAGGAGGAGTTTGTGGTGACAGAAAGAGAATCTTACCTGGAGGCTGTCCATCTCTGAGGAGCACTTGGTGAGAATAACCCTGGCCAGCAGGAGGAGGAGGGGGTTGGCCACCAAGCTGTACACAGACTCCCCGTCTATCAGCAGGCTGGAGTGGATCGCATCCACCAGGGCCTGTGGCTGCCAGTCAAAGATATGCACATTTAAATTGAATAATATAAATAATAGATCATTATTCACACTTTGCAGTGATTAATCAATCAATGATTATTTATATAGCCCAATATCACAAATGTTACATTTGTATCAGTGGTCTTCACAGTTTGTACAGAATATCAGAGAGTACACAGGTATAGACAGAGAGAAGGAAGAAGTAAGATGTCCCCCTACAAACTAAGCCTATATCAGCAAAACTAGGGGATGAATCTAATCAGCCCTAACTATAAGCTTTATCAAAAAGGAAGGTCTTAAGCGCACTCTTAAAAACGGATAGGGTGTCTGCCGCCCGAACACAAACTGGAAGCTGATTCCACAAATGTGGAGCTTGATAAGAAAAGGCTCTGGCTCCCATTGTACTTTTAGAGACTCTAGGAACAACCAACAACCCTGCATTCTTGGAACGCAATGCCCTAGTACAGGGGTGCCCAACCTTTTTTGAACCGAGAGCTACTTTTAAAGTTGCCAGTCTGCCGAGATCTACCAGTCCAAATAGAGAGGCGTAGCCATTACTGACAGCCTACTACCAGGTAAATACACACTTCTACTTGTATAAAACTGACCTTTGTACGATTAATACTTCATAAAATACTGCAGATCCTTTATCTTACCTCTTTCTAATCTACACACATACAAGTATTTTACTGAAGTTACACAACTGTGTTGTTGATACAGAGTTGGAGTTTATTCACACGTCACTACAGTGGGTAATGTTTTCAAGAAACATTGAACAGTGCTGCCACATATGACACAGGGAAAAAAAAAAAGACTCTGAACCCTTTCTTTGCCATTATATACAAATAGTGTTGCTACAAAAGTATAAATTAGGCAACTCAGATCTGAAGCTACTCAGGAATCTGCTGCCAAAGTGCAATATAAAAGACAAAATTAATAGAATCAAACCCTTTTTTTGTTGTATTTTAGTCGAATATAAAAAGAAATGCCTTTAAAATAGGATGCAAGCAACACTAGTTTCTTAACCTGAATTGATAATAGACTATAATCAATTTAAGTTTGCATTCTTATACCATTTTGTACAATAATTATAATGAATAAGTTTAAACAAACTAAAACTTACAGCTGATTAATAACGGTATCTAACTTGAGTTTTTATTATATCAAAAACCTGTTGAAATGCTACTGTTATTTTTACTGTCCCCCAAAAGCGTGTCGGTAGCCTCCATGAATGTTTCTTTTCACAACTTCGCCATCTTTGAAAGACTTCATGTGTTTCGCAAGAACGTGACTGACACGATAAGATGCTCTGGTAGCAGCCTTGCTCTTGTTGTTGGGCCTGGTGAAAATGGACTGCTGTGCATTTAGCTGTGCTTTCAGGCCCCTCCCCTTTTGGGAGCGTAGGGCAGAATTAGGAGGGAATTCCGTCTCGTAGCGTTTGTGCGCTGTTTTGAAATGCCGCTCCTAAATTACCCTTCTTCGATAAAGCCACGCTCGCATTGCAGATGAGACAGATGGACTTTGAATTGGAATAGATACAAAAATAATCATCCTCCCACTCGGAGTGAAAATTATATATTTTGGGCTTTTTTGCTTCTGCCATAATTGCGGTCTTGTGTGTGTGCGGACTGTCACTCCTGTTGACACGGACAACGTCAGCGAACTAGTGCATTGCCCACTGCCCACCTGCCACGCCCCGACACATGGGGTCACGCCGGCCAATCACAAAGCTTGGATGCGTTCAAGTGCATTATTCTGGCACAGGAAGATTATGTTCTAGGACATAATAAAACAGAATATTGTTGTTCTATTTTTAGACACATCTCGTGATCGACTGGGAATTTCCCCGATCGACTGGTTGGGCACCCCTGCCCTAGTAGGACAGTAGGGTATAATGAGTTCTTTAAGGTAAGATGGCGCCTGCCCATTAAGGGCTTTGTAGGCGAGAAGAAGAATTTTAAATTCTATCCTGTGTTCTATAGGGAGCCAGTGTAAGGCAGCCAGAACAGGAGTAATGTGGTCCCTTTTTCTAACTCTGGTTAGTACACGAGCTGCAGCATTTTGAATCAGCTGAAGCGACTTGACTGACTTCTTGGTACACCCTGATAATAAAGAGTTACAATAATCCAGCCTTGAAGTAAACATGGACTAGTTTCTCTGCATCGTTTTGAGGCAAGATATGCCTGATTTTTGCAATGTTACGTAGATGGAAGTAGGCGGTCCTTGAAATTGATTTTATGTGGGCGTTAAAGGATAAATCCTGATCAAATATAACACCAAGATTCCTTACAGTCTCACTGGAGGCCAAATTAATGCCATCCATAGTTAGTATATCCTTAGATAATTTGTTTCGTAGATTCTTCGGGCCGAGTACAATAACTTCAGTTTTGGTCGTGTTTAACAACAACAAATGTAAGGTCATCCACATTTTTAAGTCCTTGAGGCAGTCTTGAATTTTATTTAGATGATTAATTTCATCAGGCTTGATTGATAAATATAGTTGAGTATAGTTGAGTATCATCCATATAACAATGAAAATGTACAGAATGATTCCTTATAATATTGCCTCGCGGAAGCATATTAAAGATTAAAGATGCATTAAAGATGCTTCACAAGCAAGTAAGGGTTAGTCCTGATACAAAAAGGAGGAAAGGGAGGGAGGAGTGGAGGATTAGAGGTCAAAAGCATGAGTGAAAAGGTGAGTTTTGAAGGCTTTTTTGAGGGATGTCGGCACTTGGGAAGTGTTGGCCTTTTAGATGTCGAGGGGGTTCCTGGAGGAGTGGGGGGGGGGGGGGGTCTGCAGCAAAGGCCCTGTCGCCCCAGATCTGGAGCTTAGTACTGATGGTCTGCAGCAGGTTAGCCTCAGCAGACCTGAGGTGACGGGTAGGTAGGTGTGTGTTTTGCTGGAGGCGGTCACAGAATTGGGGGAGGGGGTGCAGTTCAGTGGGGGTAAGCATGCGGGCAGCAGAGTTTGTGACATTTAAGTGTTTTGAAGATATAGGCATGGTAACCGCAGAGAATGATGTTGCAGTAATCGGGTCAGTATGTAACGGGGGTGTGACCAGGAAACAAATCTTTGGAGGGAGCTTCTGTGTGTCAGGACGGCGTAGCAGTCCATGTTTTGAGACGGCATCATTGTTGAGCTGTATTATAAATCCTTTTCGGCTGAATATGTTACGATGAGCCATCTTTGTTAACCCTTTCTCCTGTGCCATTATGCATGTAGGGAACACAGTGTTATAACACAGGCTCCTGGTGTGACAGCATGGATAAATCATTGATGCCAAAGGAATTACTTTGATAAAAGAAACAGCCATCTATCCTGGTGTAATGGCATTGTGAGACACGCCATTCAGCTTCAGCGCCTGGAGGAAACTGTCTCCTCAACCTGCAGTAATTAGGACCCCAGAGACGCTTCATTACTGCAGATCTCCTGCACCGTGCCGCTGAGGCAGGGAAAGAGAGAGTACCAAGTACAACCGGCTGCATCATGGCTGGTATGGCAGAGGGTGGTGAAAACTGAACAGCACATCACCAGGATTGAGCTGCCAGCATGGAGGACCTCTACTCACCTTATATAGCCCCGCCCCTGTTCCTACTTCCTGTTTTAATGCTTATGTCCTAGTTCTTCCTGTTGAGCACTAGCATTTTATTTAGGATGATTTACAGCGACATTGCGGTGATCAGATGGTGTACAGTACCACATCCATCCTCTGTTAGTGACATCAGGACCAATACATTTCATATGAGGAAATGTTGTATAACTCTGTAGTGTCTTGTGGTGTAGATGACCCCTACTTTGAGGAGCTACGAAAAGTACCAAAACATATCGTGTCATTAGCCGCTTTCACACCAAGTACTTTGCCGTACTTAGTTCCCAGCACCTAGTTCCCGGCACTTAGTTCCCAGCACTTATTTCCCCCATGGAACTAAATAGCAGATCGCGTTCACACCGGAATAAGTTCCCTGAGGGAAGATTACGCAAATGAAGCCGCTGACGTCACTTCTTCTTCTTCTGCTTTGGGTTTACTGGCAGGCCGCAAACCACTTCACGGCGTATACTGCCACCCGAAGTCCCCGGCCGGAAGTCCCCGAAGTTGGGGACTGGCTTCAGTAGAAGCTGCTGGGACTCCCAGCAGCTTCTACTGAAGCCTTCCGAGTAAATCGCCAGAACGCCGACACCTCCTCATCTCCACCGCTCCCATGTTTTATTTTGTGTTGCCATAAGTTAGTCTCTCTGCGTTTGTGCGCTGGGCTAATGCTAATAATGTTAATGCCAGCAAATACAATGGCGGCTTTACAAAAAAAAATTGTTTTACGGCGCGTGGTTTGCAATTCCCCCAGCCAATCAGAAATTGGTACTTTTTTCTCCCCAGGAAAGTACCACCTCTCTAGCAGGGACTGAACAGGGGGGGGAAAGTTCTCATGAACTAAGTTCTCTTTTTGATGTGAACGCAAAAGGAACTATCGGAACTAAAAGGGAAAAGTACGTGGAAAAGTACGTGGAAAAGTACTCCGGTGTGAAAGTGCCTAATATACACAATGTACACATATTTATTGTTACAATAAGCAGTATTTTATTCTACTGTACAGTATTTCATTTTACATTCTGTCTTACGCTCATCTGATTCTATTTAACGTGTATATAGTTTACTTCTTTCTTCCGTTTTGCAATATTTGTATTCTTCGTTAACAAAGCAATCACAGTTAAGTTTTCTCCTAATCTCCAGTCCAGTTTTAATTGTTTTGTTACTTTTACAGAATTGCCAAAAAAAAAGTGTTGAAAATCTTACCTACCCATCATGCTTTCAGTTGAGGACTTCATTAATGGTTTGGTAACATTTCCATTAACACAAACGTATCAGCACTGAAGAGTTAGTTTGACACGAAGATATCAAATCAGAGACAGATACAAACAGAGGAGAGAGATGAGACGGCATCATACCTCAGAGGAGAGCAGGGCCGGTGGCAGCAGGTCGGAGATACTGATGGAGACAGGAGGACCAGTCCAGTTACTCTGAGCAAACAGGTGGAGGCAGGACACTGCCAGGGCCATCAGCGCCAGCTGCCTGCAGCAGAGAACACACACTGGGTTAGTAGACAGAAAGACTGGAGAGAAAAGATCACGTCTACAGGAGCTCAAATGCTCACAACTACAATGTTCTCCAGCCAGACAAGTTGCAGTTTAAATCATTGGCCGTGCAAAATGTGCCACTAACCCTATCTGGACATTTTCAGAGAAGTTTTTATTATTTGCATACATTCTAGAGCAATGGTCAAAAACATTATGTGAGGATACATTGACCTTGAAACAAAATGCAATTATTTCCGAATTCATTGAATGTTTGATATGAAGAAAATTACATCAATTAATTCCTGAGATATCACAATTACACACGGATGTACAGATAACCAGGAAGAAAAAGGTATAGTGACAGGGATTTAGAGTCAGGCAACGACTAGCGATATGCATTGCAGTCTTTCTATTGGACTGAGGAGATGAGGGAAGGTGTACACAAAAAAGGAAGAGGATCCAAATGGAGGAGGAACAAAATGTGCTGCATTTAACATTTACAAAGGACAGCTCTCCACAGAGAGCAAAAATGTCAGATGTTAAGCTTTCATCATTTAAAATGGAAAACAAGCACTCTCGTGCTCAACTGCTCTCACTGCCAAACACAACTCCTCAGGTCAATGTTAAGACACTCATTTATTATCATCATTTACAGTTTGTTACAGAAATCCCAATGAGTCCTCTGATGTCAAAGTTATCTCATAATTTGGAGTTCACTTTTCTTTTGTTTGCTGAAGAAACAGATGGTACTCTGAGCCTCTGAATGTCTGACGGATGGCCAGTACAGCAGGCCACAGAAGGACATTGTAAACAAGCTAGCCTCAATCGCTGTAGACTACAAGCTAATGATAGATCATGTTTTGTTAGCAGTGGTGTTAACCCTCCGGTATCATTCGATTGGACTACGCAAATTAGTCATTGGAGACAAAAATGTCCACTGCAAAAGACTTTGATAAAAACATTACATTAAAAGGTTTTTTTCACAACTTTTTTGGGTTCAGTCTTTAAAGCAAGGATTTTAACTCTTTAAATGTCATTTTGAAGACATGAAACCGCTGTTTTTTTTCATGGTGAAAACAGAGAAAATTAGTTATTTTCCATAAAATACATATCTGGGGACTGGCTCTTTTTTTTTTATAACAGTCTTGGATATGTCAAAGATTAGCAACAAAATAGATTTTTTTTTTTTGCATTATTAGTTTTTGCACAAAATCAGATTGAACAAAAAAACTCACACATTAGTCATTCGGGACAAAAACGTCCACTTTCAAAAACTGCTCTAAAATGACAGATTAATATTTTTTTAAACTTTTTGGGGTTAAATCTTTCAATCAACTTCAGTCCTGATCAAAAATACCAAATGTTAAATTATGTTCAGGATTTTAACCCTTTAACTGCCAGTTTGAAAACATGAATTTTCTATGAAAAACATGCACAAAAAGGCAGTTATTTTCCATATAATAAATGTTGGGGGGGGGGGGGGGTCGGCTTTTTTTTTTATCACAGTCTTGGATATGTCAAAGATTAGCAACAACATTTATTTTTGGTGGATTATTAGTTTTTGCACAGAATCAGATTAAACAAAACTCACACATTAGTCATTCGGGGACAACAATGTCCCATCCACTCCCATTATAACCACATCTTTGGATCTCTACGCCATACCATTATAAAATCATGCATTTTGTAATGTAAGGGTTTTATATTGGAGGAAAATAGTTCAATTTGTCCTTTTTACTCTATATCACCAGATGTGACATTTTACCATTGAATTACATGCTTGTCATTTCTTGGTTTCTTTGCCTGTGGTATAATGGGGCCCTGACAGCCATTGGAATACATGTATGCAACTAATATGATGTAGGTGTGTTGGTATGGATGTGGAAGAGTGGTATCAGCTGAGAAATAAGTGTGTGTGTGTGTGTGTGTGTGTGTGTGTGTGTGTGTGTGTGTGTGTGTGTGTGTGTGTGTGTGTGTGTGTGTGAGAGAACAGAGACAACAATACACAGTAAATGACATTAAGATACCCCTGTGGGCCATCTAAGCTAATTTACAGATGGCCCTGAGCCCAATAGAGATTGCCCTGAAAAATGGCTTGGGGGGCCTCCCCCTAGAACATTTTGATTTTTGCAGGTCTTAGATGCTGTCTGGTGCATTCTCTAGACTGAATTATAAGATGAACTACCACAATATTATACAATTTCAATTGTATTCTTCATTTCACTTGTTTGTTTGTTCTTGTTTGTGTTTGCTCGCTTGCATGCCCTGAATAGCTATAAGAAATACTTAAGTTGTTGGTCAAGACACTTTCCATCTGATGAAGGCAAATGCCTTCCCAGATGTAAAAAAGTAGAAAACATTACATTCAGTTATAACTGCCAAAACAAATATTATTTACACTATTATGGCCCCTGTTAAAAATGTTTGTAATGTAAGTTGGTCGAACGAATGCCTCCTCATCTGGAAGCTGACCAAGCAGCAGTCGAGAGGAGCCGAGCACATCCGCGAAGCACACAAAATGTGTTCCCGTTAGCCGGCAAATCTAAATCTCTTTGGTCAAAATGTCCGGTCAAAATAATTTCCCTTTAGCGCAATTCAGTTGCGCCACTTATGTGACAGACAAGAATAGTCCATTCTAATGTCTAACACTTGCAAATCAATGTCTAACACTTGCAAATCAAATGCAAAGCTTCCAAATATGCTACATTTTTATAGAAATGTTGTTTTTAAGACTGCCTGTATTTTTTATTTTATTTAAATCGAGATAATACACCCAAAAAAAAGCTTTTTATTGATCCAAAACTCGACCCAAAGCCGTCTGAATTTCTGACATGTAATTCCCAGCAGCCTCCGCGCGCGTGACGTAATAGTGGCCAAACAGTCTCTGGACCAAATATCCCGACTCGGCAGTCTCGGTCACATGTTTTTCGAAAAGAAAACTGAATTAACATGGGTTATTGTTGAGCTTTTTGTTGTACGAACGGTGCGGGATCTGGGAGAGTTTTACATGCATTTCCCAAAGACCAAATCATCCGCAAAAAATGGATTTTTTTTTAGTGAATCGTGTTGGATGGCAACCGACAAAATGGAGCAAGTTGTGTTCTGACCACTTCGCGTGTGATGCATACGACGTTGATCCTGCTATCATGAAGTCTGTTGGTGGAGAAGCATTAATAGCACGTCGGAGGCTGAAACCCGGAGCCGTCCCCTCCACATTTCAGCACAAGAAACCACTGAAAGAACGAAAGAGCCGGGCGATGCAGAAACGCCAAAGAATTGAGGTAAACAACTTTTGATTAGATTTCAAAGCGCACGGAGCACAGCAGATAACGCAATTGCAGTTGTATTGCTTATAGAGGTGGGCACCGTTAGATTCTGTGTCTTTACGATCATAAACAATGTGTTGGATGTGGAGCTAGGATAAGTAATAAGGGCGCTAGGAGTGATAGGTTAGCATTTTTCGCTCGGGGCTAATTCACTGTTAGCATTGTAGTTTATCTGCAGCTCATTCATCGCTCCTCCACTCATAACGGAAAATGTCGAACGTCCTACAGTCGGTGATGCGGACTTCTTCTCCCATCTCTTCCTTCACTTTCCCATAGTTGTGGCAGCACTTGTTTTCTAGGCTTGTAGGCATGGTCTGGCAGTTTCCACATCTACACCAATTCTCAGCACCCTCGGCCTCTTCCTCAGATGGCGAACTTGAATCATCGCCATCAGCACTTTCATCGGTGATATCAGGTGACGTTTCCTTGTATTTCCTCTTCGACATCAGAGGCTCGTATATATATGGTTGGATGTCGACAACATACTCCAGATATTGGGTGGCCTCCGACTCAGAATCAGACATGATAGACGAAACTAAGTTGTACTATCGGCGGAAGCCGCTGCGAGCATTTTTCGCTCAGGGCTAATTCAGAGGCTCACTCAGAGCGCCTGGACTTTATTTTTCTAAACCTCTCTAAAAAGGTCAAATTTCACTTGTTTTGCATCAATCTTGATACAGGGTACTTATTATATGTTATAGTTTGGATTCCTAAAGCTTTTAGTCTATAGTCTACTCAGAATCAGACATGATAGACAAAACTAGTTGTACTATCGGCGGAAGCCGCTGTGATTGATAAGCCAGGTGGAAATATGTTTGGCACATCTGACGTCACGCGCCGCCATCTTGCGGAGGAGCGGCGGAGAAAATAAATCGTCGGACTTGGTGTTGGGGGTTGAACACAATTAATATTGCGCATTGCCAGACTCATATTATCTCCGATTTTAATACTGCAATATCTTAGATAGTGTTGTAGCTATATGATTTCGATTTTACTGGCAATTATACAAAAAGCTTTGCATTTGATCTTTAATGTGGAGAAAGAGATGTCCTGTATGGGTTGATTGTGCGTTGATCTGTTGGTAATGCCTCGGGGTTCCGGTGGGCATGTAAACAAATGCATAATGCTGCGCTATACTTTGTGGCCTCACCCAGTTGCATAGCGACACTTATTGTTTAGGTGTCTTTTAATAAGCAGGTAGTCATATCATTAGCTAGAACTAGCTGGATCTGATCGATATGGACATAAAAGCGAGTGAAGTCTAATCTGACGGGAGAGAGAGATCAGCTGCTGCTGACGAGTCGACACGGAGCGCTGCATGATCACATGCAGCGGTGAGCGGACAAAACACACACTTCAGGTTAGAATATCACACGTAGCTATTTTAATGACCTCTCAAACTACCTAAACTAGTTATAGATATGTTTAGTTTTACTGTCGGGTCACTCATTACTGGATCCGCGAGCTGCATGATACTGGCATAATAGATTGCCCGATCGGGCAACCAGCAGGTGAGGCTTCATTGCCCGAGCTCAATACTAGATGGCCCCGGGCCATCGGGCAGTCGTTAATGTCGAGCCCTGGTAGATTTGGTTTACAGCAAGTCGCAGTTTTCGCCTCATATCTTTCTTTCTTTCTATCTCTCTTTTTCTCTCACTCCCTCATTCCCAAACTCATACACACTCGTACATAGTAAACCTCCTTATACCTTGTATGTGTGTGAGTGATTGTGAGAATGAGACAGGAGTAAGTGTGCTCTCATGGCGTTTTGTTTTTCATTTGTGCTGTTTCATGTGTCTTTGAGGTAAACAGATGTATGATCTGGACCCTGCTTGACCTCGATGTTTTGAATTGTTTGGAACTTCAAAGTCCTTTGATAATGTCTCTTTAGCAAACAGACATACACAGCCATACATACACTCCTTGAAGTAAATAAAAACACCTGGCTGCAAAGCCAAAGCTTCAAATATGTGTAGTTTGGCTGGATGGTCATTTCATTCCTGTGATACGCAACGAGCAGTAAGATGAAGAGGAGCTTCTCTGTGGGACAAGAGTAGGGCTGTAGCGATACACTAATCTCACGATACGATACGATACACGATATTCAGCCAACGATACATATCACGATATTCAGCCAACGATACGATTCGATACACTTATATCATTTTCTGAAAGATTTTAAAAGGGACAGTGTGATTTTGGTGACATCTTGTGAGTGTTCCATTGACTTGGATTGAATTAATTCAACTGAAAACTGAAAGCATCAATTATACAATATATGGCTCTGACAGAGAGTCTACAGCTTGCAAATGCTGGACAAAATGAATCAAAAGATGTGGTGAGAAAATGTGTTTCATTTATTGAAACAGTGCAAACTGTAGCTTACAAGCCATTGAAACGTAATTACATAAAGTGCAGTATCACAATGGACAATGGAGAATTAAAAGGTGCAGCAGGTGGCGGAACACGGGGGATTTCAATGGGACTAGTTAGAAATTAAAATCAATGTTTTGATGGCATAAAGTACCTTAAACATACCGTCAGTTTAAATGCTGTTTTATACTGAAAAACCAGAAGTTCTTGTGCACAACCAATTGTTAAGCTTTTATTCTGAAAATCCTTCATCTCCGGTTAGCATTTAGCATGTGGCTAATATACCATTTACTATAGAGGTGAATTTAGTAGCGATATGACACGGAGTGTTGCACACCGAAACCTACTGATTTCAACACTACAACTATAGACGTCGAGATATTATTATTGTTGAATATTAAATGAAGGTACAGTTTATTTGAATATGTTGATTTACAGACGTGGGTAGCATGAGACAACATTCGGAACTACCGGAAATGATACCAGCTGTGAGGTATTTTTGGAGTATTGATTACAGCGTTTAACCTGTTAAACCCCGAGCCTGTTTTTCAGGTTTCAGGCTCGAAAATGACATTCCCAGAACAAATGACCATATCTTCCCTTCTAAAAGGGTTAAATTAATCATCTTCTTTCTCAAAGTAATGATAAACCTGTGAGTTGGATGTAGAAAAGTCAGATTCAATATAGATGTTTTTTATTTAAATAAAATTCAGATTGAACATGGTAAAAAACTGTAAATTATAGTGTCCGTCCAAAAAATATTTTGTACTTATAGTGAAAACTAACCTTGGATGATGGTTTAGTAGACTAAAAGCTTTAGGAATCCAAAGTACAACATATAATAAGTACCCTGTATCAAGATTGATGCAAAACAAGTGATATGACCTTTTTAGACAGATTTAGAAGAAAAAAAAACCTCTTCTGGGGCCATTTGGGTGGATTTTCCATATCTCTGGCCCCCCTTGCTCGATTTTGACATCTCTTTCTGACGGTCAGAGCCAATGGAATCGAGGGGAACTCCCACATAGTCCTTATTTGGTCATGTGTATGTGTGAGACTGCTGCATCGCCGAGACCGGAAGCAGCAGCTAGCTGTGGTGGCTACCATTAGCAGCTAGCATTTTCTCTCCGATTTTTACATTAAAATGGAATTATGGATTATAAATTCAATCAGTTTTTTATACATGGACATTAAGAACCTATGGATTAACCGATTCAGCCGCGTTTTTTCTCATTTTAATGCCATTGAACACGTACTTTGATCAGATTGACAGCTACTTGTGAGACGATCTCCCTAGAAGCTTTGTAAAGGTACGTGTTGTGATGACTGTATTTGCTTCCCCTGTCGCGAGTCCGGATCACTCAGTGATGATACTATATACCTACATAATCTATGGAGTCTCAGTTTTAATCGGATATATTGTATGTGCAGCTATGATAAGTAATAAGGGTACTTTTATCTTGAGTTCTGTGCCAATGTCCGTTAGCATTTTTCGCTCAGGGGTAATTTAGATGCTTCTTGTGAGACTTGTGTTTTGTTTTGGTAAACATGGTTTGTATCGGCAGTTAGCTGAGATTATTTCCGTTAATCTGGTATAACACATTAATAGGTTCTTAAATATTAAGATCCCCTGAGACACCGTATCGTGAAAAAAAGTCCCAGGGTCCCCGCCGGCGGGGACCTTCGGGCTTAACAGGTTAAAATGTATTAAATGAAAAGTCATGAAAGAGATGAGGAGAAAAGGCGTGTTTAGTTATATATTTAATGTACAATGTCTGAATACTCTGTTATGCGCAACAACGAACATTGGAGACGTGGAGGGCCGGCCCCCAGCAGCGCCAACCGGCCCACAGGGAGGAGCCAGCAGAGGATATTTAACAGCTGGAAAGGTGGCACTCGCTCTCTTCCCTTCGCTCACGAGAGACAGAACACAGCTGTTTTTCTGACTGAACCATCTTCTGCTTGTAACATTACCACGCTTTTTATTAATTAAAGTATACATTTGAACCTTCTCAGAGACTCAATTAGTCTCTTTTTTAAAGCTTCTCTCCTGGACGCGAGAATAACGAACACAGTTATCAGACTTAATGTATCGATACCTGCGGCTGAAAAATCGATACTTTCTCGGAAAACTAAATATCGATATATACCGCAGGATCGATTAAATTGCACAGCCCTAGACAAGAGGTCTCATGCAGCCCGTAACTTCAGCTGCAGGACTCATCCTCTGAAACAGAAACACCCTGAGAAGGAGAATCTGGTGTGGATCTGCCTGAACTGTGCTTGAAAGGAGTCAGCACAAACAACACTTTTTTGCCAAACAGTTTACCAAACAGTTAATTTATCGGATGGGGGCAGAGAAGAAGGAACAATTCTGCCCTGAATCCCACGTTGATACAGATGAATCGATGAGGTCCTTTGCTGAGGAGGTTGAGGAGCTGCTGAGGAACTGCTGAGGAACAACAAGATGGTGATGAGGTTGAGATGTATGAAGGACTACAAAACCATTTAGATGGAAAAAGCCTGATGTTCACTAAAGTGCTTAGTGATCTCCTCCTCAATCACACCACAAAGGGGACGATAGCACCAGAGATTGCCACAGGAGTAACAAGAATATTCGTTGCGCCGCCACGTGAAGCCATGCTTAGAGAAATGATCAGATGTTTGTGGTGGAGTCTGATTGTTCTTCATCTGACCCTTCCGCTGAAAGTGGAGAGGACACAGAGGATCCCATCCCGTAGCTGCGCTACATTCCTCTGCACTATCCATATTGACGCACCTAATTCCTAAACTTCTAACAGATAAAACATACACCGATCCTTCAGCCTCATATGAGCTCTCAGACACGTTCAAAATTAAATTCTGAGCTTGCTGCTGTGTGCGCCATCGTGCGTTTGCATGCAGATGCTGGGATTGACTTTTTTTTTTTACCGTTAGAGCCGATAGAATCGAAGGGGAATTTCTCCATACACACACAGTTAAAAAAAAAGTGGGGGCTTTGCACATGCAGGTTTGCATCAGAGCGAACCTATCTCTCGCTCTGACATCTGGAAATGCAAAAGCAGGTTTATTGCTTATGGATCATCAGAAATCATTTCAAAGGGACACAGACACATTGGATTAACCTATTGATTAACTTCAGCAGCGTTTTTATCGTTGTAATGCCATTGAAGACCACTGTACTGTTCCAGTAATCCAAAATTCGATTCACAGGTAGCAAATAAGCTTGACTCGGACAACATACGTCTCAGGGTAGTTTGTTTGACTCTTTACTTAAACAAAAAGGTATCAAATACAAACACATCTTTTTCTCAGGTCAAAATACTATGTTGCTCTGTGCTTCCTTCTCCTACACCACAATCACCAGCAGCTGCCGTCGGCTATAACGTCTCGTAATCACGAACAGCTGCGGTCGTCCATGTCGTCAATTTCACACGACTGGTTCAAATAAATGATATAATAGCACTAACAACAAAGGATTATAATATTCAAATATATCAACTATACATTTTAACATATGGCTCTTACAACCACTTTTGACCAGACAACAACCAAGGTAGGCCATGTTGCCGGTTTTAGCTACCTAGCGCCATAGGTTTTGATGTATTTTCTTGTTAATAGCTTTGCGAGTTCTAATCATGGAGTGATAATGTAGAGTATAATGTATCGATGCGAATCGATGGGTTGGGCGTGCAGCTACAATAAGCAATAAGGGTGTTATGAGTGAGTTTCTGTGCAACACCCCGTTAGCATGTTTCGCTCGTGGCTAATTCATAGGCTCAGCGCTAGCTTTGTGGGTTTTTTTGAAAATAAAAATGATCAGTTAGCTGAGTTTCTTCCCGTTATATGGATATAAAACATTCATAGTTTATTGAATATTAAGATGCCCTCAGATGCTGTTTCCTGCCGATGACGCGTTTTCCCCCCCGGTATCGAGGGTGCGGTATAGAAGAGGTTAAATGGAATTTTTAAATAAAGTTGTACCTGTTGGTGTGTTCATTGTTGGTGCCACAGGTGAGGTACTGCAGCACCTGTTTCTCCAGGTAGGCCTCGATGTCCTCCCCCTCACTGCAGCTGCCGTCTCCTCTAAGCAGGTCCAACACCTGGGGGCTCAGCAGGACCTCCTCCAAGTCCCCCTCCATCAGGGACTTCAGCAGAGGGCCCGCCTCTGGAAGAACAAAGATTAGAGTTGAAATTCAGGACATTCTTACCATTTAGTTCAAATTAAGTTCACATGAAAACAATGCAATTGCTACCGCAGGTGCAACATTTAACTGCAGAAGGATATCGGAAAAATATGAATTTTTGCAGGAAATCTTATGCACTACGATTGAATGCATTTAAACCCTTTTGAAAAATGCAGAACCCAAATAAACAGATCATTGTGCCTGTTGGCCTATAGAAAGATACACATTGGTCCAAACCCTTTAAAATTATTTAAGAGCTGAGGTTTTCATTAACCCGTCTTGAAACTCTTTAAAAACAATTTTAATTGGAAGGAACAGATCATTGCCTAGTCTGTGTGTGTGGTCTATCGACATGAGTAAACAATGCAGATAAAGAAGGAGAACCCTACAGTTTGAAGGAGATGTTTATTAAATGGATATTGTAGAGGGAGTTATGACCTGTTAAATGCCCTAACAAAAACATTGTAGCAGCAGAAAAATAAATAAAACTGAGAACTTATTCTAAATTAAGCTGCCGCTCTTCGTTGTATTCCAATAATACAATAGTGTTTCCCTTCTAAAAAAAGGCTCATTTTGGTGCGCCAATCTGTCTACTACCTGTGTCTATACATAATCACCAAGTGCTCAAAACCACTTTCAAAATAAAAGCGTACACTCCGCTGTGTGGAGAGGCTGATGGGGAGATGTGGAAAAACAGTGATTTATGAAAGGACGGAGAGCGGCTGCTGGGCCACCACCTCCCAACCAGAAATAATTGTAATGCATTTGGTTAAACATCTCCCAGCCTTTCATTAGCTTTTTATTTGAGGAGGGAGACTGGCTTGGCTCATTAGCATTGATTGCTTCTTGTTCCAGCGTTGGAGAGAACAGAGGGGGGGGGGGGGGGGGGTGGTTGGCATACTGAGCTGCATGAAGAAGCCCGGCTAACTTGAGAATGATCTCAATTGTCTCCCTTAAGGTCCTTACACACCGAGCTGATTTTCGGCGTCGATAGATGTCTGGCCGTCGATGAGCGTCCTGTCGCCCTACTCAGATTGGTGTGTACTGCACCGTTGTGTCTTTTCACCTTCCGCTGCCGATTCGACAAGTTGAATCGGGAGGCTGTCGGCCAAAGGCCGTAGGCCAAAGAAATCACTGTGATTGACTGTTCAGCTTAGCGAATCGGTGCATGAGAAGCGAAAGGGAAGTGACGGAAAAAATAAATAACGCGTTAACGCAAAAAATTAACGCCAGTAATTATTTTAACGCGATTAACGCATGTGCATTTTTTGTCCTTGGCCACCCCGTAGTTTCAGAGCGCATCGAGTTTAAAATACCATCTACAAGCTGATGCTGACAGCCCCGCTCCTGCCGCCCGCTTGCGGCAGACCACACTTCCACGCTCACCGGCAGGCCCTGACTGGCCATCGGGAGGACCGGGAGAGACCTTACGTGTATTGTTGTTGTTAGCATCTGGTGCTAGCTAGCTGCGCTAACGGATATAAGGAGCTGTTTCAATGAAAACAGAGGAGTGACATTTCGCCGACAACTGCGCCGAGCACTTGACTTTATGCAGGAAGCCAGACAGTGGGACATTGTACGAAAAGTCAGCACACTCAGCTCGGATAGTGCGCGCAACATGATCACAGCGTCCAGGTAGCTCCCGTTCGAGCATATGCCTTGAGTTGCACATAGCTCCAACGATCCATCACAGAAACACACACACACACACACACTTTGTATTGTATTATTGTATGAGAGAGGTTCCAGGTTAAATTTAGGCGAATATTTGTAATGTTCAGAGGTTGTAGTGTTTAATATTCATGAGAATTGTTGTCATTGTTGAAATGATAATGAACATTTGCATAAAGCATATTTGTCCACTCATGTTGATAAGAGTATTAAAAACTTGAAAAATATTCCTCTAAGGTACATTTAGAACAGATAAAAAATGTGCGATTAATTTGCGATTAACTATGGACAATCATGCGATTAATCGCGATTAAATATTTTAATCGACTGACAGCCCTAATTTTTTTACATTCTCAAGTCTACTGTCAAGGTACTATGGCTGTGTTCAGAGTAAAGAGCTTTTTCAAGTCAGAAAGAAAGAGGCCATGATGTTCCCTGGTGAACAGACTTCTCTTTTGTCAAAAAGCTGGTCACAACCTTCAAAACCAGCACCCCCATCTGTTGGCGGAGAGTTGTAACTGCAACGCCAAAAAGTTCACTAAACAAATCAATACAAAAGTTTTATTTTTAGTTACTATTTTTGAGTTAGCATTTTAGTGTAAGCAGTCTATAAAAATCTTCACTATATAAGAGAAAGTGATAATGCGGTGTGCTTCTTCTGTTGCTCTGCTATAGAAAAGAAGCTTGTCAGTGCAGACAAGATCAGGGATGGGAGTTTTGTGAAAGGAGGATTTAAGAACTGGCGAAAGGCAGGGGAAACATTTAGGGAGCATGAGAAGTCCCATCAACACACAGGCCATCAACAAACTGGCAGCATTAAAAACCGAACACCGATGAATGCACTGCTCTCAAAAGCTGTTGCTAAAGACCAAATGACTGCATTTAATATGACGTTATTATTAGGACTGTCAGTCGATTAAAATATTTAATCGCATGATTGTCCATAGTTAATCGCGATTAATTGCAAATTAATCGCACATTTTTTATCTGTTCTAAATGTACCTTAGAGGAATATTTTTCAAGTTTTTAATACTCTTATCAACATATGAGTGGACAAATATGCTTTATGCAAATGTTTATTATCATTTGAACAATGACAAATATTCTCATGAATATAAAACACAACAACCTCTGAACATTAAAAATATTCGCCTCAACCTTTTTATCAACCTATTTATCACCCTGTGTGTGTGTGTGTGTTGTGTGTGTGTGTGTGTGTGTGTGTGTGTGTGTGTGTGTGTGTGTGTGTGTGTGTGTGTGTGTGTGTGTGTGTGTGGTGTGTGTGTGTGTGGTGTGTGTGTGTGTGTGTGTGTGTGTGTGTGAATCTATGTGCAACTCAAGGCATATGCTCGAACGGGAGCTGCCTGGACGCTGCAATCATGTTGCGCGCACTATCCGTGCTGAGTGTGCTGACTTTTCGTACAATGTCCCACTGTCTGGCTACCTGCATAAAGTCAAGTGCTCGGCGCAGTTGTCGGCGAAATGTCGCTCCTCTGTTTTCATTTAAACAGCTCCTTATATCCGTTAGCGCAGCTAGCTCGCACCAGATGCTAACAACAACAATAAACGTATGGTGTCTCTCTCTCACTCGCGCCACACATACACACACCCTCCCGGTCCTCCCGATGGCCAGTCGGTGCATGCCGGTGAGCGTGGAAGTGTGGTCTGCCGCAAGCGGACGGCAGGAGCGGGGCTGTCCAGCATCAGCTTGTAGATGGTATTTTTAAACTCGATGCGCTCTGAAAACTACGGGGCGGCCGAGGACAAAAAATACACATGCGTTAATCGCGTTATAAATAATTAGTGGTGTTTTTCCGTTAACGCGTTATTAACGCGTTAACTTGACAGCCCTAGTTATTATACAGGGCCGCCCCTCCCTACACACAGATCACCGCAGACCCTCGCGGATGGGGCCTCATTTTGCGGAGGGAGACTCATCTGAAGCGCAAACGTGGCGCACCTACAGTGTAGCGCGCCAGTTTCGCCGGCTCCACTAGCACCACCCCCCCCACCGCAACCGCACGCCCCCCCATCGCCCCAAACATAAGCGCTCGCTGATGCTCTCACACACACACATACACTCTCTCTTGTCCTTTCTCTTTTGAACGCCGCTCTTGTGCTTTGCTGTACATTATAAATGCAAGCTATTACATTTTTTATAATGCTGCCGAACTTGCTGCTGCTAGCTACAGTACAGTACAGGTTGATTAAACGGTTCGCTCGTTACGCAAGGTATCACATGACATGAAAGGGAGCAAGGTCATTGGACAGACAAATGACTAATTAATTTAGGTTGCTTGGTTACTTTGAAGACTGCATGAACCGGTCAATGTCATTTTGCATGGGCCCCTGGCCAGCTCTGGGCCCCGGTGCACCGGCTGCACCGTCGATAGTTACGCCACTGAGTCTGTCCCTGTATCCCTGTAGATTATTTCTCAAGCTGCTAAACTTTCTTCACTTAGACCAGTTAATTGTCATTAAGGTAGATGGCAGTGTGGTAATGATGCACCTTCACTGTGCGCACTGGAGGGAAAATATGTCTATGGACAGAGAGGGTTAAGTTCTTAAAAAACAGTTTGGAATATTAATCACCTATTATTTCACTGAACAATCTCATCAGAAAACATTATTACTGTACTATCTTGTGCATCCACAACTTAAGACTCATCAGTTTCAAATATGAGGTAACTAAAAGGTGAAAATCAAAAGATTAACATACAATATTATATAAATTCTTTGGACAATTCTGCAACATTTGCCGAACTAAAAGAGCCTGCCAACATTCAATAGAGAAGCCTGTGATTAATAAAAGGCGCTACAGTAATAAAGCGTTGCAGAGTATCAGCATTCATCCACTGACAGACACTGTCCAACTCCAATGTTTCTGCTACTCACAGACAATCTCTTTCGAATGGAACTCACACTCTGCAACAGCACTAGCACTGCTGGCTTACAGCTAAATGTATCAATGTTTCACTTTACATTCATGATATTAGATTGTTGATCATTTAATCAATATCCATCACAGATCCATAGATTGAAACCCCCCTCGAGGGTAACATGCTCATATTCTTACATAAATCCAGATTTCTAGCCCACTTCATTCACATGGTCCTTTAACCGTATCCATAACTTTAATAAGCAATAGCAGTTGGACTACTGCTGCAATGGAGGTGTGGAGATTTTTTAATCTCAGCGCTGAGCTAATGAAAGCCAGGGGCTGCCATAAAAGCACAATGATAAGTGAGGGGGGGGGGGGAGCAGGAAGGCTTTATGAGGGGGAAAATGAAAGCCTGAGGTATGGCCACAT